ATGGTTTCATTACTACATGCCATTAACAAGGCACAGTTGCAAGGCTAGTCCTATTCTCAATTGTGCCGTTGTAGAAATACACCTTCCATTTTTTACAGTAGCAAACATTGATGCCCAGCAGAAGTTATTAACAGCTTTCAAGACTGTTGCTCGAAGTTAGAACAAAATATGGAGAATATAAGGAGAAACAAATAATTTCCAGTCTTATGATAGGGAAAGCATCTTATCTATATGTCCTTATGAATATGTATGGCCCATCATGCTGCAGTAACTTGGAGGATAGGGGAGGAGGAGACTATAGGCTCTGAGGCTTAACAACTCCATAATGAAGCAGATCTTCCAGAAATCTAGCACACTACTTGTTCTACTAGAACCTGACACTTCAACCTCTAATTATATTGCAGTGCATCAAAAAATTTCAATGCTGCAGATTTAATAATGGACAGATTAAGATAATATGTGGGAGAGCCTTGTTAAGGCTAATAAGAGCACCACTTCCAGTTTGGGTACAGGAAGATAGGGCATAACATAGGATTTTTCTGCTAGCTACTAGAAAATTTACTAAAAAAAAAAAGACAGTCACTATCCCATCCGCTCCCTGGCAGTGACTTTGAATTTCATCACAATGATTTGAAATACTGCAACTGAAAAAAATACTTCAAAAAAGAGTTGGTTGAGGATTTTGACAATACAGTATCTCCAGAATATTGCCACTCTTAGCAAGAAGCCATTGTCTTTTTCTGGATTTAGGTGGCACGTTATTACTTGTCCATAAATTTTTCATTCAAAAAATGAGGTAATATATATCACCTAAATGGACTGGAGTCATGGGAACAATGAAATCTCTCCCTAGCCTCAAGACTGGTATATTAAGATTTCTTCCTTTTCCTTTTTTTTTTTCCTCCACTTCTTTTTCTTTCCAGCACTTAAGTTCAAAAGAAAATAAGGATTTAAAGATTTTCTTAATAAGTACTGATTTTTCAGATAGCTACTTATGTAACTTGATTTTCATCTTCTGTTTATTCTTTTCTCTTTTTAAATCTTTAAGTGTACAGATTGTGAAAGGTTTTCCTGTGGTATTCGTATCCTTTCTGGTTTGCTACTCCTAAACAGTGTTTCACCTTCAATGTTTGTTTCCTACATCCTCTTCTACCATAGTTGCCAAGTGTTACCAGAAATAAGACTTCCTAGGAGTGCAAGGTACTTCATAAGGTGCATGAAGAAACCATCCTCTCCCAAATAATTCACAGACCTAATGGTCTCATCCCACACTGAAGCCTGGATAAGCAGACCATAAAGGAAATGGGGTCTACTATAGGTGAAAAGGCCTACTCCCACAGAACAACTTGAAAAGTAGATGTCCCAAAAGAACTAGTGGAACATGAAAGCTGACTGGAAGATGGATACTGTCCAATGCATACAAACACTTTGTCCAAAGTACTGGAAGACTACCATTTCCCTACCTTGCAAAAAAAGCCAAACAGCTGTTATCCTCCAGTATATCCCTCCTTCCCTAGCAAACTAAATTCTGTCCTTGCTCCATTGCCCCCCTGTGATGCCAAGTTTCTTGGCCTTCTTTCTTGCCAATACTTCTGGCATCACCTGCAGCACTACGGAAGGAAATTTGGAGAAAAGACCCCTACAGCTCAGCTGGAGTTAAGGTACCAGCTGTACTCTGCTTACAGGGTATTATGAAAGAGAAGAAATACATCATTTTAGAAAGCCTGCAAGTGTTAAATTGTAGGATAGGAGTTTTTTTCCTGAGTGCCGGGCCCATTAGTCTTTAATCCTACAAGCGCCTTATTCATTCTTCAGAATGAGGGAGGAGTCAAAGCACAGAACTCTTCCCCAGAGCAGGATTGATAAGACAGGTCTGCGATCCACAAAAACATACCACTGAAGTGAGAGCAAAGGAAAGCAGCGCTGCACTGTGGAGATGATGTATTTCTATTGGAACTGTCCTTTCAGCCTAGAACATTACTAAAACCAAGCAAAACCCAAGAAAATCAAGCAAACATTATAAGAAAAAAAAAACAAACAAAAAACCAAACAAACCTAAACTATGAAGGCACTGCAACTCACTAGTCAGGATAAATTAACTTAGGAATTAACTATACTTGGAATACTGAATCCTATTTGGAATGAAAATTATTTTTAAAAGGGCATCAGTTTATGAAAGCATTTCAAGAAGTTGCCTGTCTTTTCTGAGGTAGACAACATGCAAATTGTTTTCATTAGAATAACAGTACAAGTGGAGAATGAGGCTAGTACTTTTCAAGTGTGTCATATTTGCATTTTTGCTGCTAAATATCCAAGTTAGTCTGTGTTTTCAAAGCAGTCTGTAATAATAGAATAGGAATCAGAAAATCAGCCCTTTGGGCAAGAGTTAATTTAAAAATAAAAATAAATCACCTAATCTTTTTCCCCTTTTATTGTATTTCTAATGACACTACATGAAGATGGCTATTGGACTATTAGAGCAATGAACCTTAAAGAAAATTTACACTCACCTGGGAAAAATTAATCATAGCTTAGATCATAAATATATTTTTCAACCTGATGCTTTTCAGTGCTCTGAGACTGAGCTCAGGATGATGGGGAGCCTAAGAGAGCTGTAAGTCTTTTCTTCCTGTCAATCTCAAATGGCATGCTTGTCTTCTTTTTCCACCTGGAAATTATTTCCAGTCACAAAAAAAAATAAATCTGGACGTTCCTTCAGGATTCCTAGGCATAAGCTAATGCAGTAAGACCATCAGCAGAACTTGGCCTGCCTGATCGCTGGAAGTCACCAATCATACAATTAGGCACTTTGTCTATACAGGCCAACTGCACGTACATTGCTGTTTCTAGAGTTAAAATGACATAAGGCTTTTCTCTGGACAATGACTATGACCTAAGATCCATGGTTCATAGCATCTCAACAATGAAACTAGGAGTTGCCAAAACTCTTCAGAAAACTTGCATTGGTAAGATATTTAACTGACATGTATTTTGCACAAATTTTCCAGTCATAAAATATCCTAGTTTTTTTATTTTGACTATTCTATTCTAACAGGAACATGTGTCCCTCAAAAACGTATATATGAATACACCAAAGTACATAAGTTATTAAATTTGCAGAAGAACTTTCCAGTGATGCCTATTAAACCATGATATAGTAGAAAAACTTTTTTATTACAAAATTTCAGTGTTCTAAGATACACAAAAGTATATTTTTAGTGATAGTATCATTTTGCTTTCACTCGATTTTTTTTCCTTCAAAATTTACTTAAAATTCATTAATACAAGAAATAGCTTTTGAAAACTGCTTTACAAAACTCAACCACAAAAAGTTGTATAAAGACATTTGTGCCCTTTTGCACTGTGAAAATTATTTAAGTTAAAGGAGAATGAGATAGCCAGAAGTTTGCACACTTTCATACAGACTAGAAGTATTGACATGTGGAATTGCTCCAAAAGAGTTACAACATTTTAAATTGACACATTGACTTCAATGTACACTACACTATCTACAATGCCTGTAGATTTTCCTGAGTGCTTGAAGTACTAGCTCCAAACCCACTGAATGTTATGTGCAGTATTCATCTCCTACTAAAGCCCATAAAACCACCTTAATTTAGCCTCACAGTGCTGTGACTGGCTGTGTACCTGAATGGCACAAACAGAAGATTCCCACTGTTGTTTCTTTGAGCCAAACTTGCGAAGAAGGCAAATATGAGCAGTGCGATACCACAGATTTTGCTCCAGTAAGAATCTAGGGCTTGGTCCACAAGAAATAATGTTCTGAACCCATTCTGCTACCAAGGGCTTTCACAGTGCAGTACACTGCTCTTGCTTCTTTGACCTTGGCACAGCAGAATTATTGCACCTGAAATATTAACTTAAAGCATTGTTGCAAACTCCAGGCTACAAATACTGCTACATAAAAAGCTCTGAATTTTACTTGGAAGATCTCAGGTGAGAAAGGGAAAGGAAAGGAATTACATAAAGCCTCTCATTGTTTGCAAAGTCAGTGTAACATTGAAATACGACAGTTCTGCTCTTCTTGTCATCTTTATCGTCTTTTGTATGCCAGAAACATCCTCTTTATATATCTGTGCATCCTCTTTTGTGCATCGTTTGTTGAAGAGACTCTCTCAAACTCTATGTAACTGGCTTAGAGAGATCTACTAGGACAAATGAGGCTGCTTGGAACCAAAACCTGTCAAAGCATCAAACACAGAATATGTCTACACAAAAATTCTTCTTTGATACCATTCTGCAGAGATGTAAAGGCTAGCTTTAAATTAGGTTTCCTAGATAATGGAAGTAATTTAGTCACATGAACTTGGAGCTTGGCAAGGGTCAGATTATAGTTCTGTAAAAAGTAACTTTAAAGAATATCTTTAATCTTGATTTGGTAAACTTTAGATATGTCAACTGCACTATGCAGTCACTTATTTGACTACAGGGAATGTGTAATATAAGTAAATTGGAATTATTGTTCGAATTAACAATTCCAAAAGACATTAAAAAAACTAATTCACTTCTTGGAATTGCATCTTTAAGAGTTGACTTTAAATGCTGCCACTGCATCGCCATAAAGAAAAACTGGAGAAGACTAGGTTTTATGTACATTCGTATCCACTGTATTTGGTGGGTAGTTCTTAACCTCTCTTATATCACTGCTAAAGAACATTCCACATTTTCCCTAAACCTAAGTAAGATTGATATGGCAAACAATTTCAAAATGAAAGTATTTTATGTAAGCATTCAACAGTACAATGTTAGAATGAACACAAAGGTTCCTAACAAGAATTTTCATACTGTAACTTACATTTAGATAGAAACTTCTTTGCCTCGGGTTCTAATAGACCAATCAGCTGAAGATATTTCTAAAATAATGCGAACTTAGGAAAGAAAACTATGTGACTTTAGGGACAGGGAAGCATGGAAATAGTCCTGTTAGATGAAAATTCATGCCATTTATTTATTTTGTTTAAACTGAAATCTTCTCTTACCATCATGATTGGGATTTCCCAAAGTCCATGGCTCATCTGAGTCAAAATGAGTGTCTCCCCCAATTCCTGGCCCAGGGAAATATGCATGAGCCAAAAATCCTCCCTCCCCATCAAAGGGAGAACTGTCTCCATGAAAACCTGATGCAAAAATGATTGTAATATCCACGTCCCTCTTGCCATTTTCTAATTCAATATAAGGAACTTCTTCAAATGTTAGAGGAGTTACATTCTGCCACACATCGAAGGCACGGCGAATGGCTTTACGAGTTTCAGCATCACCTACTTTTGGAGTGACGTTCTTTATGCTGAAAGAAACAGAGAAATGTTAAAGAAATTAAATTTGACAGAGCGGTAAGTGACACTGCTTACATCCATTTTCCCCTATTAAACCACTATGCTTTTAATAAAATGTGCTAGTCTGGCGTTATGTCCCTTAAGAAGAGTATTTTTAAACAAACTGGTGTGAAATTATTGTGTCAATCTGTGTAGCCCTTTATGCTAGAACTTATTACATGTTAGCTAGGTTACTCTCAGCAGTACAAAAATCTTATTTTTAGAAGATTAAAAATATTTTAAAATGAAAAATTCTTAACAGTGGGATAACCAGATTAATCAACCACTGACTGTTTACCTCCTGGACCACAATTAGAATCCATCACAGCTAAAGAACGGCATGTCATTTCTGATCAAAAGAAAAATGTTTTCAGTTAAATGAAATTTTTACTTCTTAGCGAGTCCATTAACAATAGCAGAGCTCCATACTGTGACCACCAACCAGTGTTCACAAAGCCTTAAAAACAGTTCTTGTTGCATTTGTAACAGGATAGATAATTCCTTATCAGAAACAAAGCTTTTTTATTTTAATACAGGCTAAGATGTCCTTTCATAATGTGATTACTTCTGGAAATCTTGCATAAAACTGTAGAATTCATCAGAGAAATCATTTTATAGAAGACAATTATGTGCTAATTCAGAAATATACATTTAAACAGAAATTTCAGTCTCCACTACTTCTTCAAATGACACACGTAAGTGAAAGGCAAAACCCCATCAGAATTACAGTTGAGTTCAGGGTCACAGTTATTAGTAAATTATAGTGAAATAATCTTTAAAAAAACATTTTATTTATTTATTTTTATTATTGAATTCACGAAAAGAATGGCAATAATCAATTTCAGACCTATCCAGTTTCCTCCATCACTTCCACTTGATTCTTATGGCCAGCAAAAACTGTTACGTTCGTGTCTGTTCTCAAACTGCTGTAATCAGATGCTCTTTGTTCATTTGACATGTACTTGACTGAAGGTCCAGCACAAATTTCAGAAATTACACTGTTCTACAGTATATGTAAGATTTATGTAAGTTTACACACCATGGTGTGTTAATGGAGAACAAAAATATTTTCATGAATAAAGCTGGAGTGATTGATTTTTTAGGTGCATTAAATGTGCTTGATTATACAGTATTGTAAGTTTATATAAATGGAAATAAATACTTCAAGTCTAATTTTATAGATTTGACTTCACATACATAATATTTTGTTCATAAGTTCATGTAGAAAACATAGTTACCTCTTTTGACTTCCACTCAGAAATATTCTTGTACTGAGTCCAATAATGCTAGTCTAACCAAAGCATTATTTCTTTTTAGCTAGTATGTATGTTCCAAAGAGATATCAAGACAGATTAGAAGACACTATACTGTAGAGAACCCACTGTTTCCCTTGATCTTTTGTTCCAAAGATGATTTAACCAGTCATTACATACTTGTGCCTATTCTCTTATTTGTCTGGCTTGTAACACTGGTTCCTGTTCTGTATTTCTCTTTCACATACATGAGCTTTAAGAACATTTTTTCCCCTAAAAAAGGCATTAAAAAGATACTTCTGCACTGCAAAGTCATTACCTTTTTTTTGTCTCTTTGAAATTAAAGTTTGAAATCTTTTAATCTCTTATTAGATAACATTTTTTCCAGTCTATTAAACATTTTCTGTGATTTTTATTGAACCCACTCCAATTTTGCTACCTTCTTTTAAAAGTGACTCTGGCAGAACCACAAAGTACTGCTGTACTGATCTCGCTGTCAGAGAGAAAAAGCCTTCTGATCTGTAGGCATAGCCTTACCCTATATGGTGTAAATGTCATGTGATTCAAATTGCTTTGTATGATGCCCTTTCTTTATAGTTATTTACTCATCAGTAATTTTATGATCAGTGTTGTGAAAGTTACAGGGTTTTTTTTTTATTATTTTGTATTTAGGAATCTTAGTAATGGGTCAAAGTCACACTTCAGGGTTATGTAAACAGAGCAAAAGGATGGTCTAATGCTATTATATGAGATATGAAGAAACAGATAAAAACAAATTGGAATTTTGTATTGGCAGTAAAGTGATTAATTACTTGGGTCTAAAAGGGTTTGACTCATATTTTAAACCTTATCACTTTACATTTTCTTGCTTTTTCAGTGAACAGCGTTAAGTTTTAGTCATTGATTACAAATGAAAAACTGAGCCATTTTGCTAGTTTCACACACATTAACTATGGGTGATTTCCTATGATGGGAGACCTTTTCCAGGGGATTCAGCTATTGAATTACTTTTGAAATAGTATCTCAAGATTCATTGTCAAGTAGAAAGATTTTTCAAAGCATACTTTCTGTATTAAAACAAGACAGATTTCTGGCTTCAGAAACCACCTTCTGGAGAGGGTGAGATTATACTGAAAAACGTAGCTTTTAAAAGAAATTAAATAAATCAGTAGTTATTCCAATAGAAGAGTTTTTCCAGAAAATGATTTTCCATTTTAATGTGTTTAACACAAGCCATGTTCAATCTTAAAAGCACAAATTCCAATACTGTGTGTAACACAAATGTTGAAGTTGTCTAGCTGGGAACTTTGCTTAGAATAATTCACCAATGTAGATGTATGAAATCCAAGTTATTTTACATTTATTTCATTATGTTGATCATAAAACCTCCAAAGGGGAAATACAGTAAGACGATTAATCCATACGAACAATGTATCAACCACCAGAGATTCTAGGACTCTTAAAAGTCTTCAGTTTAGACATATCACTGCAATAGCAAATAACGTCGTATATGAACCCTCTTCCTACTACATTTGGCTCTACATTTTAAAGCCAGCAGTCACCTGAAATAGTGGTAACTGTCACTGGTAACAAAAAAAAAGAGGAACTGGGTATCTTACAGTCAACATGCCAAATAATGTAGAATCATAGAATGTTTTGGGTTGGAAGGGACCTTTAGAGGTCATCTGGTCCAACCCTCCTTCAGTGAGTTCAAATAAAAATAAGTGGAGGACTTGCTAGCTCAGAACCACTCCTATTGTAAGGTGGCAGCATAGCGAGACAAAGGCCATCACAACAAAAACACAGTGTTTCCTAAGCATTGCTTTCCTAACCTCCAAGTGATCATTTCACAGAAAAGATGTTCAAAAGAGAGAAAGATCCAATGCTGACCTTGACCAGATCAGTAGTGCAACCGTATAAAGAGGCTGAAGAACATACAATTCCTTCCAAAGGGAAAGTATTTTAGTAAGCAAAAGATGATCTATAAGATGAAACATTTACTTCAATGTTATTTTTTTTTTACAAACTAGTAAACTGAGTGATGCTTTGTATGCATTTTGAAAACTGTTATTCTTAGATGACCACAGCCATGTATTGACTGAATACAGTATTTTGTGGTTATTATTGCTATTTGATGCAAGCATGTTTTTCAACCTGATAGTTGCTTTAGGCATTATAGCTTTTAAACCCATGTCTTGCACAAGAAGAATACGATTTCACTACTGATATGCACTTTTCACACTGATTTACTATTTCTACAGATGCCTGAAGACTGTTATTCTGAAATTCTGAGTCCTATTGATTTCAGAAAAGCTTTGGATTTTCCTTCCCCTCCTCCTCCTTCCCAAAAATATCCTCAAAGAAAATTATCCATATTTCAGTGACACATTTTTGGCTGCCACAGCTTCAGGAGCCTTGCAAGGCTGTCAAGATATACCTTACTTGGCTGTGTAAAATCAGTCATCTGAAATTTAAATACAGTACTTTAAGTAGCACATATTTGCCATTAAATTTCACTATTTCCTTTTTTCTTCCCGCGCTGTCATTAGAACAGCTCGTTATACTTTTCACATAAATTGCTACAATTCTTTGTATAAATCAACCCTTCTGACCCAAGCTAGACTCAAGAGGCAGTTCAGCAAAGGCTAGACAAAGCTCGAAATGCATAAAGCTTATTATTACTGCTTACCTTAGCAGTAATGGCCTCCACAAGAGTTGTAATAACTCAGTGACAGACTTCTTCATGGCCTGTAGACTTTGATACTTCTATTCTCCACTGCATATAATAAATACTATTTTTAAATTGGTTCTATGCTCATTTGTGCATTAAATCCAGATTACGATTAACAATATCTTACTACCCTGTTGTACTGATTAGGCTGGATACTAACGAATGCCTTTAGAATTATTGCATAATTATAATGATGCAAGATGATATTTTATTTTTTATAGATCATAAATATATCAATTAAATATAAATGGGAAAAATATTTCTGTAATGTAATTTCTCTCAAACATTTAAGATGTTCTTGGAGCAAAGTCACAAATTGGAAACCCCATTCTAAAGAAAGGACACAGAAGATAAAAGAGCAGGGAATTCAACTGAGTAGGTAAAAAGATGCAGCCAGTAATCTGCTTGAAGTAAGCCAATTATAGATCTGTATTTGATATGAAACAGTTAAGGTAAAATTAATTGAAATATAGCTTAAATTTGAATAACTTGTTGAAACTACCTTCTCATTGCCATTGATGTATACCAAACCTAAACTGAAGAAAGCTTTTTTTTTTTAAAACCACTGTTACTTTTACTGAAATTAATAGATTACCTCTGGCCAAAGGTATATTTCATTTTGCACCATCATTTCTCTAGAGAAACTTTCTATCAAGTTGCTTCATCTCTCATTGATGTGGGTTTTCTTAGCTTCAACTTCTTTCCAGTCTCAGTTTGCTAACTCCTTGTAACTATAGCCTAAGAATGTTTCTCACGTAAAATGCCATCTTGGTTCATATAGATCCTGCTCAAGCTGATTAAACACAAGTCAGAACTATTGCTTTTGATTTTCTTGTTCTGTGACCACATTAAAAGTCAACCTAAAGCTGCCACGTTGGAAAGAATTTATAATTCTCTTGCCTCGTCGGTTTCATGGATAATATTCTCCCCGTAATTCATTAAAAGGAGATGAAAAGTGACAAAGATGAGATTTCCAAGATACAAAACC